AAAGCCTTTTCCCCTATCCAAGAGCTTAAAGGTTGGGTAATACTCTAGCGTTCTGCAATAGTTTCGATATGAATGAGCTCTGAAACAATAAACGAAGCTTTAGCATATCGCCGCACAAGGAAAGTTTTTCCTGACTTGCCAGCGTCAGGGTTGGAATAATCTTGGCTTCAGCAATATCACTAAATGCTACCTGATCCGACATGACTTGAGTTCAGATTTGAGAAGTGCGGAATTATGCCTGTCAATCAACATCAGATATAGAAGAGAGTTGATGCAATCAGATATAGCAAGGAATAAATAGGGTTAAATTCACTAAGATCATTGTCAAGCATTCATGGGGACCTATCGCTGGAACTCAACAGACGACGATGGACTTCGTTAAGGATAAACACCAGTTGCATCACGATCTACTGACAATCAAGGTATCAAGGGCTGAAGGAACTAGCTATAGTATCTTGAAAATACTGGGCATCACATCTCCTGTAATTGCTTGAATCTTTTGTAGAGCTCCGCCATCACCACACACGCGGATTAGGGGGTTTATGTTGTGCCAGTGAAACAGAATTTCACCAGAAGATGAGTCGCCATTTTGGAATGAAATAGTACTGGAAAGACTTGGGATATCTGCAATAGATCCCATGCAGTGCCGTTTTACCTGGTATTTGAGGCGAGTATTGATGGTCGGGGTTCTGTGATACTGAAGTGTCACCCGTCACCGGCCCCTAATAGTTCGATGTGCTCTACACGCCGAGATACATAAAGTTTGCTTAATGATGTTTCCACTATAGTAAAGAGACTTAAGTAGAACAAACAAGCATTGTAACAGTGGCCAGGTCAATACATGACAGCAACATGGGCATCACTGAAGATGAGATTGGACTAGTACATTACGATTGATAGGATATGTTAGCAGTGTATTACGGGTATAGACCTATTGAACGTAAGAGAAGCGCTTTGAACAAAATGATATCGCCTCCAACAATCCCGATAAGCCTGTGATCGAATATCGCATCCTTGAGTGCAAGAGGTAACCTCAAACTTTCACTGGTAGGTATACCTAGGTAGTGAGAAACAGACCCAGGATGTGAATAAAATTATCCAAACAAGCACAATAAGAACAAGTACATAGAAAACAACATCGTTCAAGACACTGAAGGTCCAAACCTGAGCTTCCTATGGCAGGTACTGGGATTTATATTGATGGATGCAGGCTTGATGGTTCAAAGACCACGTACGGACAACTAATTTAGCGATTTCTAGGATAAAAGAATTAGTCCTACCCTGCCGTATCGATCAGATGACATATTATGTGACGATAGAAACGTTGTGGTAAATACAAGGGAAGGACTTCAGCCAGATCTGAGTGACTGCGCCCGTGGAACAGCACATACAACTCCTACAAGCATTTTCTCATGAGCTCAGTCAAATTGGAGGCGACATTAGTCAAAAGAGACTACAGTTTTTGGCGGCGCTCCAATTGTATGTATGAGCATGGAGCAAACTTGTACGACTCTAACATCAAACGAATTTGATTGAAGAAGTTTGTTACACAGCATGGCGCACGAGAGGATCTCCGAAAGATTGCCCAGTACGAAGGAAAAAGTCTACTAAGGGAGCACAGCATGGCTTGCTCGTGGCTGGATCGACCGAGGACCAGTCTTTAAAGTCGGCACACAACATATGATAGCACGAGCAAGGGTGGTATTACTTGCAGCGGCAAGCTGCATTTGACACGATCCTTTGGCCGTCCTCGTGCCACTCGATGCAACGCAAAAAGAGAACAGGCAAATTGGACCGGGAAGAAAAAAAGGGTATCATCTGAGGACAAGATGCGGCAGTTCAGGCGCAGAGAAACGGCAATGTTCCGAGGTTGATGAAATGGATGAGCCTGTGGGTGAGCGAGTGAGAGGTGCTGCTGATACCTGTAGACGTCATGTTGAGGCTCAATAGTGCTGCAAGTCAGCAGTAGTTGCATGATGCAGACACGCATCTGCAGAAAATATGCATCTGGACCTGCAGTGTAAAGAGCAAGACGAACTGCAACACGTATTGAGACGAACTCGACAAGCAAACGAAGCCTATGATTATCGTAGTCTATCCTTTTGGTGTGTAGTGCTGTGCTGTGTCAGGGATGTGTTTCGTCTGGCGCGCGCCACAAGTCATCACCCATTGATATTGGGGGTTTGTGTTTCGGGGAGATGGCTGCCGATTTCCGGATCGACGACAGAACAGAGTTAGTGAGTTGACTGACTGACTGCGGTTCTTTACTTATTTACGTATGAGACATGGGCAACAATCAACTCATTGTGTGATGAGGGAGGGTTTCAGGCTGAGTCAGTAGGCGCTGGGCTCGTGCGTCGGCTGATATCGCGATTGATACGCTTCTTGGTTTGGTGTTGTAGAAGGAATCCGCGAGCTGCATTGGAGGTGTACGTATATGTAACTGACGAACAGGGAGTGCATTGATCGGACGGGAGATACACGTGCGCATGACATTAACACCTACCAATTTGGGCAGTACCTGGGGATATCTAAGGTAGTGTGTGTGTGTGTGTGTGTGCTGATTGTCGGCGGAGGATCGTCACGATAATTCATGTATGCACTTTATCTCTGACCTGCCATCACGGCAAGTGTCTTGTGCATGTTACAGACAATGGAATACAATGGAGTACATGTCGTGCTCGGGGCTCCTCAGCTTTGATCCCCGCGGTGGCTGCCTCCGCCAAATGTGGCTCGTGGTGGTGATGGTGAGCATGGGTTAGAGACTGGGATAGACCCTACTTTGTATGTAGGTCATGGTCAGCAGAGGCACGGAAAAGAAAAAGCCAATATGGGAATCATTAATATTTGTTGTGTCTGGGTCTAGTATCGACATGGAAGCCGAACCGAGGTGAGTTAACTTACCTACCTACCTAGGTAGCATAAAGAGTCTCACCGAGTGAGAAATATACGGCCCATGATCCGAGTTCCCGGGCGTGGTCATTCATCTCCGTCTCATGGAATAGGCAATTAGAATCAGGGTGTCGTATGTTTGCTCTTGCCCGTGGACTTGTATTGTATCATGATCTGTCTCCTGATCTGAGTGAAGTTGTCGTCTTCCATGTTTATAGTCGCCCTCGATAAAAGAAGCCACACTTTTCTTTTTGTCTTTGACTCTTGTTTTCTCCTTTCCTCTCTTTCCTCTCTTTTTTCTTTTTTCTCCCCCTTTGATTCATATTCTCCTCGTCTAGTACGACGCCATCCATAACCATCGAGATCTCTCTCACCGTGGGTTCTTGGTTTCTTTCTCACCGACCTTTATGCCCTCCCAGCATCATGGCCGCCGAGTTGGTCCTGGTTCACGCCTAAATGATACCCTGTCAGGCCTGAATACAGCAAACAGCAGTGGCCCTCCAGTTCACTTCACTGTTGGTACTAGAAATTACTTTGCTGGTTTGCCTTGCATCTTTCTCATCTGTCGTTCCCCGGTTGACTAGAAGAGACAAGGCAGAAGAAGCAAAAAAAGCCGACTCTTGGACCTCTTGAGATCGTCGTTTATTGACAGGGAGCTCCAGTTAGCGCGCGCTATCTCTGGCTGGCTGTAAGAGCTCCCAGCTCCATCAGTGACCGCTCTGTCGGTACCTGCCTTGCCTTGCCATACCTTAACTCACTTGTTTATCAGCGCAATCAATTAATCAATCAATCGGGCATCAACTTTAACATTACTATATAAAGTGATAAAGTATTACTTGTTCACCCTTGCCTTGACCGCGGCTGGATTAATTGATTGATTGCTATTGCTATTGCTATTGCACGTGCAATTGTAACCAAATTGTGCAACCGCAGCTGCAACCGCAACCGCAACCGCAAACCGCAACCACCTCTCAATTATCCTCCTTCCCCCATCTCATCCACCCCATTCCCCTCCACCCATCTTATCTCATCCATCCATATCACGCTACAACTTTGGTAGTGGAGGTTAGTTCTTCTCTTATTCAACACCATCACCTAATTAATTGATTCATTTCTTTACATACAGCCGAGTATAGAGGCTAATGATCATCCTTGGTTCAGTCTGACTATTATACTTACAACGATATCAAACTTTGTCACCATACGCTCTACAGCAGTACCAGACCGCGCACCACACTGCATCCTCACACCAAAGAAAATATCATTCTTTTGGGTCGCAATCATCAAGCAAACCCCCTCGTCAAATCATCCCTGCCTCTTTCACCGAAACGGGCCTTCCATCCTCCATACCTTACTCGACCGACCGACCTTACTTACGAAACGATACGTACTGGTACTTTGTTGCTTCGAGTCCATCTCCCCCACCCTCCACCTCAAGCCCAATTCCGTCTTCTTGGGTTCCTCCCCCGATTCTCCAATCACACCTCTTCCGTCTATTCCCCAAAAGAGACCCAACTCCCTCGATCGCTCTCTCTTACTTCTCCTCGTTTCTCTCCGGGCGCTCTGAGGTCTGGGAGCCTCCAGACGAACTACCTGACATCCCGAAACCACTGAAAACCGACTCAACACCACCGATGATGCTCATGATCGTATTGGCCGCGATATCATGATGCTCTGCGCAGCACACCCCACGCCCATTCTAGCATTGTCGCATCCGCTATCATCCTCACCCTTACCGTCGCTGCGATCCTCCTCGCATATCTCTCTATCGTTGTCGATTCTGTGCGCCGTGGTATCTTGTCAATTGGTGCCATTACCAAAGCTGTATTCTTCACTCAGTCGTGTCAACAGGCCATCGGCCCGTCGGTCTCTTCCCATCCAACATAGCCCATGTCACGAGTTGCCGCAGCGGTCTTATACACAAACCGAATCTCTCCTCGCCCACCTGCTCGACTCATACCGCATCCTCAACCCATTTGCTTTTCTGCGACGATCCCAAAAACCGAAACCTTTACTTGACCCCCCAAATCTCAACCGCAGCCGCCTACTTTGCGACTCACCTGGTCTCCCCACGCCATAGCTAGCAGCCCCTCCAGCTGCTGCCCGTCATGTCCTCACAGGCTGTTCCGGACACCCAGCTAGGGCTCACCAACGAGGAGATCCAGCTGCTTCGCCAAGGGCAGGCGGCACTGGGAGGGGGGTCCAGCAGCTCGCGCGCCGCTAGTCGCGCCAGTAGCCAAGGCCTTCTACTACTCGACAGCTCCTCACTTTCTGCTTTAGGCCGTTACTTTGATCATCTTATGGCTAGTATCGAACAACGGATTAATTACCTGAGCCATGAAGCGCAGCGATTCACCCAACTGCAATATGACGAAGCTGATGGAATAATCGGCGGCGCTGACGCAGAAATTGCTCGGTATACCGAGATTCTTCAGCAGCTGGATGAGCTCGAGGTAGATTTCGACCGTATCGCCCATATCAAGGAGATTGTGAAGGGCTATCGCTCAAGAGTTGAAACTCTGGAGCGGGATCTCGAGAGTAGTGGTAGCTCGAGCCGACACCGACACTCTTCGTCGCACCATTCATCCTCTCATCGCAGCCATGGTCACTCTCATCGTCACAGCAGTTCTCATCGTTCACGGCACTAAACAGACCGCCTCCCAGATAGCGGGAAGGTGTGGCCGGGGATTACTCACTTACAAAATATTGTTACAGTAAAACAAAAGTCTAAAAAAGAAGAAAAGATTCGAAAAAGAAAATAGGGGAGAGTCCGAAAAAGAAAATAGGGGAGAGTCCGAAAAAGAGACAAAGTCCTGCGCGGGTTACACAGGACCGCCGTGCTCCTTGCATCGCGAAATGCATCTTGCTCTCAGGCTCGGTCTATAGCCATGACGAATCAAAGGTCAGGAAGGGAACCTGGGACGTGGGAATTTTGGAAGATTGATGGGCCTCACGGCTACAACACGCTGCGCTACGTCTACGCAAGATGGAATTGGCCTCACGGCCTGGCCTATTTTTTAATGTTTTTGTTGCTATTATTGTCTATCTGCTTTTTCATGGGCTCAGTTTGGCGCTATTTTGGCGTTGAATAGCGCCTATTGTTGGATATACGTTTGTGTCTCGGGCATTTGTGTCAGATGTTTGGACTCCTTACCTTACTCAGACAAATTTGGTGTTGAAGCGTGTGCTTGGAGAAAAATACCCCTTGTTGGTTGTTGTATTGTCATAACAAACGTTTACTACGACATGTACCTTTGTTTCTTGGAATCTTTGGAAGATTGTTTTCTCATGAGGTGATGCTAATGTCAAAAGGCATGGATGTCCCTGCCAATGGCTATACTTATCACGAGAGCTCTCACCGCATCGTGCTTTTTAATGGACCACTTCGAGTCGTGCTTTTCACATTGTCGAACGCCTCACCTGCACGACTGGCTCTGGGGTGCAGCTCTGGGGATGCATATGTAAGGCGGGTGGAAGCATCGTTTATGGAGAAGACGCAGTGATGCCCAACACTAAAGGGTTGTAGTATAGTTGCTGACGTGTGTGTGAAGATTAAGGCTGGACTCGACAGGTGGATTAAAAAATGATTTATGACCTGGATTGAAAGCATATATCAACTGTTTGGTTCTTTCATTGGCGCTGGAAAATGAGGCGAGAAGGGGAGACGGTGTTGTAAGTTGGGTTCATGATGGAGTAGAGTTGGTGTAAGTTGGGTACACATCCATTCTCATGATAATATGGTTTGTCCAATGACGTTGTATGTCTTGAGTAGACAAGGGTTATCTGCAAAATACTGCACTCCAACGGCTCCTCATTTCATTGGATGCTCACCGAGTTCTAAAGTGCGGATGCATTCCTATGAGAAGGCCTTGGAGATTCGGGGGCCAAATAATGCTGTTCACCTGATCGAGGAGGCTTGGGAGGCCGAGTAAGTATGTAGAAGAGTGTGTCATTATCTTTTTTACAACGTCTAATAATAAACATACGCAAGAACAGTCCAATCCAACTCAACCGAATTCGATCCAATCCCACCATTCCTCGCAAGTAGTTTAGACGTTCAACTCATAACAACAATCAATGCTAAAATCCTTGTCCATTAAAAGTAACAAGCACACCAACAGAGCACTTAAAATGTAACAACCCATTCCATTCCATGCATGCCATGATCCTTGTGCTCGCGCCAAAAACGCCCATAAGTGTTTCCATGTATCATTTCCAAACCCTCACGTGTGAGGGGGATATCCATCGGGAATGCCTCTCGTTTCCCTCTCAGCTTGCGGCAAGACAAATGAAAGGGGGAATCAAAACGAGAGACAAAGAGGTATGTTAGGGTAGCGTAGACCCTCCAAAGCAATATCATGATGCTCGCCTCTAATGCATAAAAAAACAAAACCACAACCACACCCACACCCACACGCCGGCTTTCTTCATCATTACTTCTTTTCATGCGACTAGCACGGAGGCGGCCTACACCCGGGCGATCCGTCGCTGTCGGACCAGGAAAGGACTAGGCATCTCGTCTCGTTCCGGATCCCAGACAGCGACGGGCTCGTCACCACTTGACTTGCGCTCAATTCCGATGCGATCCCGGAATGCCCTCTTGGGGCTGACGTTCTCCCCTGTGCTGGGCATCACGATGGCGCTCATAGGACGACCGCCTGCGCGAGCCTGCTGAAGCTCGACGAGGGTTCGGCCTCGAATGTTATTCTTAGCAGCAACCTTGCCCAGAACATCATCGGTGCTGCTGCTGTTCTTCTTGTTGTTGAGTGACGAGGCGCGCGTCAAGCCCTGGCTGCCGGCCTCGGACTGGAGATTTGCCGCCGAGGGAATCTTGCTCAGACGACGAGTAGGCGACCTCGGAGCCTCAGGTGGAGGCATCTGCTTAGACACGAAGCCCGAGGTTGACGGTTGGGTCTTGAGGCGGTTCATAGGGCACGACTTCTGAGAAGTGAGGACAGGTCGTGTCTTGGAGGTGAAGGGATTCTTCGAAGATTTAATGTTCCGTGTTGGCGATGGGACGACGTCTTCATCTTCAGAATCAGACAGGGTATCACGAGGGTGATCCCATCGAGAATCGGCGGAGTTTCGATTGGCGTTGGCGGTAAAGATGTTTGCATTGGCAGTGGTAGGAGCCTTGGTGTTGCCATTGCGCCGAGGAGAAAGAGAAAGCGACGCAATAGCGATAGGGCTTGGTGAGTTCATCTCGATATCCATTGGTGTACCAGCGGGATTACCGACGAACATGGTCTGCGCACGGCTGAAAGGCGTGCGAGCTGTCTTCTTAGTCTCTCGAGGCGCCTCGGGACTATCGATGGAGTACTCAGTGAGATCTGTTGTGGAGGGGAATTCGACCTCGCTGCCACCAATGGAAGAGTGAGGATAGTCGGACTTATAATCCGACTTGCCCATTGATGAGGCATACTCATCTTCGCGACTCTCAGGTCTTGAACCGGAAAATGTTACTGTTTTCTTTTGCAGCTCAGCTTCGACACGTGCCTGAACCTCGGCTTCAAAGCGATTCTGGAGCTGTTCGATCTCCGCGTTTGCAAGACGGTCAATCTCGAGACGTGCTTTAACCTCCCACTCTCTCCGTAGCGATGAGTCCAGCTCCTCTCGGATAACGTCCTTCTCTCTCTCCATATTGGCAAGTCTGTCATTGAGGTCCCTTTCCTTCTTACGCAAAGCATCCTCTCTGAGCCGGAGAGATTTGTTGAGGTCGACAACCTCCTTCTCCTTCCTCATAAGCTTGACCACTGGCAGGTTAAGGAGCTCAGAAGTATCAGGTCTGCGATCAGGGTTCACACGGAGGCAGTCCTTGATAACCTGATAAAGCTCGGGAGAGTAAACATCTGGCAAGGCTGGGAACTTGCCCTCTTTAATCTTCTGTACAAGCTGGAAATGCGTCTTTGCGTTGAAGGGTGGCTCGCGTGCGCAGAGCTCATAGATGATGCAACCCAACGACCAGATGTCGGACTTTAATGTGTACTTCTCCGCGGCACAGATCTCGGGAGACATGTAGAAGGGGGTACCAACATAGGTAGAAGCGAAGTCGTGAGACTTGATCATCTTGGATAGGCCAAAGTCTCCAAGCTTGACAGAGTTGTCCTCGCCAAGGAAGACTAAAACACAGTTAGTTTCGAATATCGTAAACAAAGGGGTCCACTATCGAGGTCTCACCATTCTCAGGTTTCAAATCTCGGTGTAGAATAGTCATTGTTCCAGCGGGAACCTTGGGTCCGCCAGCAGCGTTTCCCTGTGTCAACCCAAGCACGTTGGCGCCAACTTCTGGAGGGTCAACACCGTAGTGACATCGGTAAAGTGCCATGACAAGCTGACTGAAAATACTCCAGACGAAGCTTTCCTGAGCTCGCTGGCCCTTTAGTGCGAGGTCCTTGATAACGCGGCCGAGATCGCCATTACCGCAGTACTCCATATAAAGATGCAAGTCCTGGCTAACTTTGAGGTGTTCGCGGTGGTAATAGGCGACAATGTTTGGGTGGCGCAGATGCGATAGAATCTGGAACTCGGCGTGAAGTTGTTCGCGCTCCTTCTGGGACATGCGTAGATATGAGATTTCTTTGCGGCACATGATGAAGCCGTCTGTCCTGCGACGGACCTTGCGGATAATGCCAAAAGAGCCATGGCCTAGAAGAAGACGGTGAGTTAGAGTTGCCGCTCAAGTGATAGCACGGCGCATCGAGACGAGTGCTGTTAACTCGATAGACTCACCAATCTTCTCCAGCGTTTCGTACTTGTCCTCGGAAGACATGATGAAGTAATTCACGGTGGACAAGCAAACTCAACCCATGCAAACAAGCAAATTCTCGCTAGGCCGTGAAAGTGTGAATGCAGATCAGATGCGATGCGATGAAGGACGCAGAAACAAGAACGAACAGACAAACGCAACCTGCTTTGGTTAGTAGTAGTAAGCTTGAAGTTTAAGAGATGGATGAGAGGAGAGAGAGGAAGAGGAGGAAAAAGGAAGAAAGCAAGGTCCAGCTTGAAGTAGCTAAGTGAATGGATCTATTTTGCGTTGTTCGTGCAACTTGTAGCTTAGACCCAAATAATCCCGGCCACTCGTCCCACGGCCTCGGTTCTGATTGGAAGTAAACACTCCATCGTTGCTACCATGGCAACCAAGGTCAAAGCTACCGATAACCGGGGATAGCCCGAGAAGCTCTTATCGATAAGAGGTGACGTCGTTCTCTTTCTGGTCTAGCCATGGAGGAGAACGATACTATAGAGAGGTCTGTCGAACAAAACAGCCAAGAATAGATCAGGTCAATTAATAACTTAATTAATCATATGCAAGATAAATTGATCACAATGCGGAGTTTCATTGTTATTCGACTTGTAGCAACCCTATATGGTTTAATAGCAAATCTGCCCACATTGCAGTGGCTTCAATATTATGCAGTTACGCAAACCTTAAACGCGGTTAATTGAATACTGCTACTAGCACGTGAGCGCGCGTTGCCTTTCAGCGCGTGGCTTTCATCAGGGCGACTTGCATCCAAAGAACATCAAGACCGCGGGCGGTAACAAAAATTTGGCCGGATTGAGGGCGCGTCTCATCATACGATGAATTTATCAAATTTTCAAAGGGTTTAAGCTGGTTCACGCTGCCAAAATTGACATCTGCAGAGTC